AATGTTTGAAAAAAAAAAAAAAAACTCACAAACACACACACACACAAATCAGAAAGATGAAATCGCGACCTCGTACGAATTAGTCTGAATGAGAGGCCTTCCCAAGCGCTTGACGATTTCCTTCTTGTGCTCGAGGGCTTTCTCAGAGGCGTCCCGATTGGGGTCCAAATGTTTACGCCCAACGTACAACACCAGGAAGCTCACAGCTGCACCGACCGCAGACAGCATGAGCTCCTGCAGAAATCCCATTCTTTTTTTTTTCACTTTATTATTATACTCTTTTTTCCTTTTGAACTGTGAGAGGAAATTTGGTGCTTTTTGAAGGTTTTGTCACTTTGTGGAAAGTGGAATGTGGACAGAATTTGCAATTGAAAACCCGACCCGACCATCGATGGTTTATTGATGGGCTGAAATTTTCTAAATGGACCTACTCAGTGGACTACGATGAGTGGGCTTGTATTATTGGACGATGTTTGGCCTCAAACTGTGTGCTATCACCTAAATATAAAATAAGCTTCCAACAAAATAAATAAATAAAAATGTGACTTTAACTTTAAAGTGTTATTTCATAGAGTTCAGTAGTTTACTATGCACTTTCCAGAATTAGGGAATTTTGTGTTAGTGATCTTATACAAATGGCAGCTATTTAAACGTCGACATTTTGATGTCATATTAGGGCCAGTATATTACTAATTCGATTAAACTAATTACATCTTTTATCCCTTTTTTCTTATATTTTATTCCTTTAAAATAATTTATTTATTTTTATTACTATTTTTGAGGGAAAGGGTTTTCGGGTTCTTTACATGCAAACGATGTGAATGAGTCGAGCCTAACTCAAACTCCTAATATTCAAGCTTGGATTGGAACTTTTAGGGGGTGATTGTTTATGGATTGAACTAGTTTTTATTTGGTTTATTTTTTAACTATAGTTAATTTTGAAAAAAAGTGGTATGGTTAGTTGTTAGTGGATATATTAAAATAATTAAAGTTAATTTGATATAAAGTATGAGAAAAATGATTGGAAGTGATAGTTAGTTAGAGTTATGTGAGTGGATGAATAGTGAATTAAAGTTGATGTGATGTGTAAAAATGATTGGTTGATATTATTTAATTATATAGATAATATATGTAGTGGGGTTGAGTTAATTGAGTTTTGATTGATTTTTTTTACTGTTCAATTCATATACAATCACCCCCTTAGTGATTCGAGTTGAGCTCAGTTCATTAACTAAACAAGCGTAATGATCTCAAGGTCGGCTTGCTTATCAATATTAACAAACCAAACTTGAACTTTAATAGGTCGAACTACCACTATTTTATGTGTTAAACCTAAACGAGCTCGAATTCAACTTCGAGTGGAGATCGAGCCGAGCCAAACTCAAGAACAACTCATTTCATTTAACAACTCCAAATTTATCTATTGTCACAAGCTTTTTGTAATTGCAAAAGGAGATTAAATTTTCCAAAACTCATTTCATCCCCAAATTGTACATTTTGATGCATAGAAGTCTAAGAAAAAAGTGTGTTTTTGTCATTTTTACTTTTTGAAAGGACAAAAAAAGTTGCCTGAAAATTAATTATTTAAAAAAAAAAAGTCAACAAGAAGAGAGAAAAAAAGGAATNGACAAATTAAATGATGTTGTCATTTTGCACTACATTATGAGCACGTACTAATAAACAAAAGCAGTTATATATTCTACTTAAGCATGTTGTCAAGTGTTTCCAAACTCACACTCTTCAAAATCGGACATTTCGTAACCATTTAGTCAGTGACCAAGTACAGACCAACAAAAAATATGGTAACAACAACAACTATCCACGAAGTAGATTTGCCGGGATCTGCCGCGGAAGAGAAATCGAAATCGGTCTCGGTGACAACTCAGCACGAAGAGGATCTGAAGAGGCTGCCACCGTGGACCAACCAGATCACGGCACGTGGAGTCTTCGCCAGTTTGACTATCGGGATTGTTTACAGCGTGGTGGTGACCAAGCTGAACCTCACGACTGGGCTCGTTCCCAACCTCAACGTGTCCGCCGCCTTGCTGGCGATTGTGTTTGTGCGGACGTGGACAAAACTGCTCGAGAAGGCTGGTTTTGTGACGACGCCGTTTACGAGACAGGAGAATACCATTATTCAGACAACTGCCGTCGCTTGCTACAGCATTGCTGTCGGAGGTCGGCGATTAAAAATGTAGATTTTTTTCGAAAAGAAAAAATGGAGATATACGGAAAATTCGAGCCTGTTTGCCCACGGGCTTTTTTTCACTATTGAATTCACACACACACACACACACACATATGTGTGTGTATTTTTCTATTTTTTTGTTACGTGTGTTTGTTGTAGCTTAAAGTTTTGACCTTTTATCAGGTGGCTTTGGTTCTTACCTTTTGGCACTGGATAGGATTACATATGAGAAAGCAGGGGTTGATGCAAAAGGGAATTCACCCAAGAGCTATAAGGAACTTAAGCCTGATTGGATGATCGGTTTTTGTTTCGTTGTTAGCTTTGTCGGCTTGTTGGCTTTGGTTCCTTTAAGAAAAGTAATTTATGTTTTCCTACATTTATTTCTGTCCTACCGAAAAACTTATGCTATTGAGTTTCTTAGTCCACATTC